ACGTTCGTTCATGTCTGCCGAGTGCATTAGCCCTTTACCAAAGGTTTAAAAATTGTGCAGGTACAAGTGGTTGATCAGACCACTCATCCGCCCAAATGCCATAGCTTCGTTGGACTGGATAAGCAAATCGGCTCCAGTCCCCCTGCTACACAAGGAAAACAACTGTGAAGCGAAAACAATCCGAAAGGATCCCTATGATTCCAAGGGTTACACACACACACACACACTTAGGAAATGCGTGCCGACTCGACTCGAATGCGGCTTGCCACACGCCAGCCAACGTGAAAAACCTAAGAGTAAGGGAACAAGGACCCTGAAAAGAAATCGGTGCCCTCCACGAGGCCCCCAAAGCCCTCCAAGCTGCAAAGCTCCAAAATCAGATGCGTGACTGCCGACGCAAACAAGTGCGATGGCCGGAGTTTTTGTTCTAGTTAGAAGCGGGGACCAATAGGAAGTTTCCAAGTCAGAACAAGCAGGTACAAGTGGTTGATCAGACCACCCAGCCACCGAAAGGCCATAGCTTCGTGGGACTGGATAGGCAAATCGGCTCCAGTCCCCCTGCCAAAAGAAGAACAAAATCAAAGGAACCCCTGTGACTCCAAGGGTTTCACACACACACACATGCCTCCCGTTGAGGGAGGCGAAAAGAACTAAGGCCACGACTAATGCGCATGCGTGCACGCAAAATAGAGACAAACGAATGATGACATGAAAGGAGGACAAGACAGACCAGGTGTATGTGGTTGCAAAGAAAAGAAACCAAATGACCAGGGACAACCGATGAACCCAACCTCATTGTAAAAATGTGGGCGACCTCAAACCTGGGTTTAAGTGCACGCGCGCAAGAAAGAAAGAAACGGAATGAGATGCCAAGACATGAAGACAGAAGGACATGAAAAGAAAGAGGAAGAAAAGAAGTATGTAAAGGGGAAAGAAGATGAAAAGCAAAACCAAATGGAAGGGCCGAAAACCAACGAAACCAAACCTGGCCTCGTTAACATTGTACACGATGTATGTGCACCTAAGACCCCGGCAGACTTCAATGGGTCTTGAGAGAACTTTGGCCGCTGCGGCCACGTACGCCGTGCCAAAATGGCTGGCAGCTTTGACCGCTATGGTCACCTATACTGGCCTGCTCGAAAGCTGCCTACTCAAATGCAATAATTCGTCAAGTCTTGGCAAATAATTAGCTTTGGCATAAGCCTCCTACGCTTGCTGCGAGCTGCTCTGCTTCCAGGCTGGGGAAACGTTGGACAAACCCCCGTTCGATGGGGCGACAGGGGACACTCCTGGGCTCTCACTAAGGAGAAACACACTTGCGCGTGAAAACCTAAGAGTGCAGGGAATAAGGAACCTGAAAAGGAATCGGCGCCCTCCACGAGGCTCCCAAAGCCCTCCAAGTTGCAAAGCTCCAAAGTCAAATGCGTGACTGCCGATGCAAACAGGTGCGTTGGCCGGAGTTCTTGTTCTAGTTAGAAGCGGGGACCAATAGGAAGTTTCCAAGTCAGAACGAGCAGGTACAAGTGGTTGATCAGACCACCCATCCACTGAAATGCCATAGCTTCGTGGGATTGGAAAGGCAAATCGTCTCTAGTCCCCCTGCCAAAAGAACAAAATCAAAGGAACCCCTGTGCCTCCAAGGGTTTCACACACACGCACACACACACACACCCTTAGATATGAGCTTGCAAGAGTGGAGTCAGTGAGCGTTCGGTGGTGCTAGCACTGTACGTCCTGAACCTGTCAATGACCATCTGCACAACCGAAAAGTGAACGGGTCAGAAAACACTATTGCTTACATCATCAAGATCAGCAAGTACGTCGCAGGTACGTCGATTTGGCGTCCCGAATGCATTTCACAAATGCGACGCTGGCGTCTTCGTACTTATGTGAATTAGAGGAAGGTAAGAGGTAGGTGTTAGAGGTGTCTGGCCCCCTTAGAAACAGGGCTTGACACACACACAAACCCGAACAAACGTCGCTTTGGAGACCTCTTTGGGGCAGGACCCGAATGCATACACTTTAAGACGTTTTAGGACATCGCCTTGAAAACATCTTTGGGGCAGGACCTGGCTGCATACGTACGTTTTATAACAAAAACGCGCAAAAACGCGCAAAAACGCATGCAAACCTGCGTGAACACCGACTGGAAACCATCTTTGCTTCCCTCCTCCTGTGAACATCCTTCTCGTCCTCTACTTTCTCTCTCACCATCTCACAATGCTCTTTTATACTTTACTTTTCATCGTAATGCAAGCATACTTTATTCTTTACACCAGAGTAACTTGACTCCTAAACGCTCTCGGGCCATCCGTCGTCTAGTTTTGAGAAGGTTCAAAGAGAGGAGTTCCACTGGTTTGGGATTTTTGGGCGGCCTTAGGAGACTGCGACCATGCTCCCCAAACAAGTCGAGACAGAAGCCTGGCGATACTGTAGCGTATGGTCTGCTCAAGCGGCCACCCTAAACCTTGACACCAGCCAACCACAGAATGTCAAACATATCACCCAACTGAACATCAATCAAGCCAATGACTCAGCAAATCAATTCAAGCGTGGCACCTTGCAGCCGCTCGGCCACACGACCTCAATGCGTGAAAACAGAAAACCACAAGTCACGCTTGCGATTGTAGTTACAGTAGCAGCAGTGATGTCCAAGTCCTAAGGCCCAAAGCCCACCCGCTGCAAAGAGTAGTCAATAGCAAACACAACTAAGATATATAAATGCATCGCTGCGATGTCCCCTGATTGCTTCTCGATCGACTGCAGAAACAAAACTGTATCCTCACTGTGCACCCCACACCCACCTACGCTCAAGCTGCATTTCACCAAGGTCAAACTACACACTCGCAAGCAGGCCTGGAATCTTTTCCACTTGATCTTGTGGCCTCTATCTACGTGCGTTGCTGTCCTGTGCCCATTTCAAGCCACATTGGGTTGTTGAATCAGCTCGATGGTTTGTTGTTGATGGTATATAGTTTCTCTTTGGCATCGCGTAGGATGGCATGCTCTTTACATGTTTGGACCTTGGACACTGGGATGTTTCAGCCACGACCATTCTCTGCATCTTGTACTCATGTGGCCTATGTTGCTCCCATCTTGCTCCGAAACACGCCTAAGATGGTTTGGGCTTTGTTCTGGCTCTCGTTAGGGCAAGGATCGAATCCAGGGCGCTTTCCCTACTATAGACAAACAAGCATCATCCTACATCAACTCGCAGGAAGCCGCAAAGGACACCTTGAACCTCTACTTTCCTCTCTTTCTCTCTTCTCTCTTTCCCTCTTTCCCACTTTTTTCTCGGTTCTTTTACATCCCGCCAAGTCAATGCGGAGCCACGGCGTACGAGCCAAAAGTGGCAACACAGGGGCAAGGATCGTTCGCCTTGAGCCCCAGCAGGTCTTCAAGACCATGCTCTGCACCAGAGTTCCAGTGAGGCCTCCACCAATGCAGCCTGTCAACTGTCTGAACTGCCCGGGCCGAATCTCAACTTGGTTTGCCCCTTCACCTTCAGGCAGTGGTGATGCACCCACTGTTGGACTCTTCCTTCAACAACCTTGCAGTGCTTGTGGCATTGTTGGCACTCTATCCATGCTCCCCTTCATTGAAGCTCATGACTGGGGTGGATGCGCATGCGCAGGTGGAGCTCTGCTTCATCCACAGGCCCCGTGACACAAGCCTTTGCCTGTAGCTGCTGCAGCTGACTCTTCCCACTGCGCCGTGGGATTTTCTCCCAACACAGCCGGCATCCAAAGTTGCTCCCTTGGAGGAACCACCTGTGTCCACTTTGCCCTTCCACAAGGAGGCTGGAGTCATCCACAAGCTCCTTCATCTGTTGTTCCATCGTGTTCATTTCACTGCCACTGCATGCAGTGTCCTGCTTCTGAGCAATCTCTGCGTGAGTTGCACATCCCTTGATCTTTTTCTTGCAGATCTTGCATTGTACACCCGCCTTGCACAACTGCCAAACATGACATCCAGGCTTTTCAGGCCGCATTGTGAGCTGACGAAAGACTTCTAGTCTCCCTTTGGTCTGCTTCACCACCTTCTCCTTGTGGCTTTCCTGAACAGGCTCCAGCTTGCCATTCATGTAGTGCTGCTTGTCCTGAAACATCTGGCTAATTCGTTGGCCAGCCACCATGTACACCTCCAGGTGAAGCTTATCTTCCTCTTGCAGGTCTTTTTCCAGGGTAACTGGCTGTTCCCTTCGAGCCCTGTCACTGGCTGCCTGTACAGTTGTTCCAGCTCCACACTGTCATAGAAACATTGAAGATCGACCAACAATGAGATGACATGCCTTCCAGTTGCTCGGCCAACTTCACATTTCAAAAGCCTCATCAGAGCAACTTGCAGAACATGTGCGCCAGGTACACTGCGTTCCCATGTCAGCTTCTGACCAATGCTGCATTGCCATGGTCGAAGTTTGTCCCAGCGGAGGCGGCACCAAGTCCTGTAGAGCACGCTGGTCAGGGAGATGGGACGCTCGATTTCTGCTTTCTTCGGAAGCAACACAGGCGCTGGGAACTTGATGGAAGGATGCCAGATCAAGTTCGTACAACGCTGGTGCTGTTGCTTCCGAAGAAAGCGGAAATTGAGCGTCCCATATAGCTGATGCCGTCCGGGCCACATGCTTTTTGAGGTAGCTTGCTGAGCTGCTTCATGACAGTGTGGGGGTCCAGGTCTTCCCATTGTCTCGCCTGCACAATCCCTTCCCGTTCCGCACTGGCCTTGGGTTGATCCAAGACCTGCCAAGTGCCGTGCCACTGAGCTTCTCTAAGTTGCTGCCTTTGTTGTACTGGAACGTTCCTGACGGGTGGCTTGTGACAACCAGTTTTGATACTCTTCTGCTTGCCTGCCCAGCGCCAGCTTCTGTGCATAGTCCCGGTTGCATTCAGCCCCTTGATCAAGAGGGTGAGTGGGGTATCATCTCCATCAATGAGGGCTTGCAGGCCTGCTTTGAAATCTTCTAGCCCACGCAGATCTTGCCGCCTGCTCTGGAGATCCTCTGCTTTGGCCTTCAGGTGAACGAGAGTGCCTGCTGAGGTGAGCTTTCCTTGCAGCATGTTGCAACGAAGAGCAAAGTTGTCCCCAATAGGCCAGGTCACCCCTCCTCCACGGTGAGAGAGGTTTTGTTTTGGCAAGTGCATTGATTTCCAGCGCCAGGAACCACCCTCTGCCCAGCTTGGGCTGATGTAGATGCTGTAGTGCAAATTGTTCAGCTTGATGGCAAAATTCAGCACACTGAATCTCCTTCGGGCCGACAGGCCTGCCAAGCCAAAATGGTTTTGGTGCCGGTTCAAATTGATCCCATGTTTTCTCCATCAACTCCATCTTTGGGATCGGTGCATACTGCGTCAATTGCGGCAAGGTAGGGGTGCCTCTTGGGCCACATGCACCATCAGCCCTGCATGAGGCCGCCATGGGACATCCCAATTCACCTTGATCTCAATGAAAGGGGCTATCGTTCTGCTGGCAAGTATGTAGTCAATCTCTGCCCCATTGATCATTGTAGGTTGTCCACTACTGACAATCTCAGCTCTCAGGACGTTGAGCAGATTGTGTCCTTCCCACTGGGTCGGTGGGGCCTGGAAACCCCCAACAAGCAGCCAAGGGATCGCCAGCTCTTGGACAAATGCTGCTATCTCTCCCAGCACTTTGGCGTTGGCCATGGAGTTTAGATCTTCCCCGCACTTGAGGTATACCGAGATGACACACATCTCCCACTTCTGTCGTTGCACCACATTGGCAAGGAAGCCGTTGCCCTCACGGTCGTACTGGTGCAACTTGTATGCCGCTTGGCCTTCTCTACAGCAGAATCCTTGACCACCGCTGGTGCCTCCCCTTCCTGTTCCATAAAGGCTGGTTGCCACCTGGATCTGCAGAGTTCGCCAGCAAGGTGCGTCTCCACCATCATGACAACTTGTAGGTCCTGCTGGATGAGCCACTGGAAGACTTCTTTGTTCCACTGAGTCACATTGGCATAGAAGATGTCCACATCATCTTGTAGGATTTTAGGCCTCTTCGCTGGGGGCTCTGTGCTTGGGACATTCACCATCATCTGCCACACAGACTGCCTCGCCTTCCACCAGCATTGTCAAATAGTGGCCACTGATCAACTCTGCTCCTTGATGCACAATGATCCCCCGAAGTACAAAGGTGGCCGGCGCAGCGTGTCCTGTCAATGTCATCTGAGGACAGGTGAACATGGGTGGAGTGATCAAGCGGTGACTATGCTTGGTCCAGATCTTGTCCACAAGGGAGTACCTGCCAATGTGAAAGACCACATGCTGTACCTCTGCACCAAGACATTGACCACTGGCTTCATTTGCCCACATGGACAACAGGTTTTCAAACGGGACTTCTTGTCCTGCTTCAGGTGGCATGCGCACGAACATTGGGATGGTGTCAAAATCATGGAGCCTTCCTCCAAAGATTGACTGCAAGTTTCCTTGCAAACCTGTCTGTCCCCAATGCTCCCACAGCAAGACCAGAAATTCCGAGGCATCATGTTGCCCTTGCGCGTTGTCCATTCTAGCAATCACTGGTTGCAGCTTTGACGCCCAGAACGCGTCCTCAATGTCATCTTGCTGTAGAAGTTGCACGCAGAGTCTTGTGGAAGGTCTCCAAAAGGCTGCCGGATTTTCATGATGTGCTCCCATCCAGCACCACATCCTCAACACTGAGTTGGCATAACATCTATTCCCTTTGTTGCGGATGCACAAGGTGAGGTTTGCAGCCAGGAGCTCAATGGCAGGTGGAATGCTTGGCTCTTCCTCAACCGGCCGACAAAGCATGAGATTGCTTTGAAGGGCAGCACATGTTTTAGGGCTTCCAATCCCCATATTCGTGTCTCAACCTGACCGAACTCAACCGGCAAGGCCTTGATGGCTGCACTGGCTCTTTCCTGCAGGACCACCAATCGATCTCTCAAATGGCCCGGGCTAGTTCTCTCAGCCAAGTGCATCATATAAGTATCTTCCAAGATATCTTCATCTCCATCAAACTTGCCTCTGGCACACTGTGCTACCCTGCATTTGTCATCAGGCAGTTGGCTTTCGTCAGGTGCACTTACATCAAGTGCCTCTTGCGCTCCAAAGCTGTTGTCTTGCTTCTGCTTGTATCCTGTCTGCTGCTCATGCTTTCTCCTTGGCTCCATTTCTTCAGAGTGCATCTCGGTCGGGCTTTGTGGGGTTACCTCCAGGGTCCTGTTCACAGCAGGTCCAGGTTGCCCTGGCCGCTCTGTGCAGGTAGAACACAGTGCTCCTTTGGTCCCCTTCTGTGCCCTGTTGTGAACTCCATTGCCACCTGCTCCCCCTGTATGGCTTGCCTTCATTGGGCTACCCTCTAACTTCTTTGAATGAGAGGCTCCACAAAGTATAGCCACAGGTGCAGGGTTTCGTCTGTCACAGTCAAATGACTCACCTGGTGTAACTTCTATTTGTTCATCCTCAGGGCTTTGGGCAACAATGTCACAGGTCCCGACTGAAGCAACCTCCAAGAGCTGCTCTGACAAAGAAGAACTCGGTGCCTGTGCATTGCTGCTCACTGCCCTCCACTTGCATGCTCCTCCATCATGTCGATCATCTCGTCCCACTGCAGCACCCATCAAAGCGCTAAGAGCACTACCAGTGGGTTCGAAAGCTTTTGGATTGCGCTTGTCAACTCCTAATTCAAGCAGATGACATCCTTGTGGCTCATGATCAGTGAAAGGCGTGTCCAAATGCTCTTCGCTCCCAACATACGCTGCCACCCTTGAAATCTATCGCCACGTACAAGAAACACTCACATGACTGCCACTGGCTGTCAAGCCCCGAGCATGGTTCACAGCACCCCTTGATGAAGCCATGCCTCCCAAGATTTCCAAACTGACAAACACTCCCAATCAATGGTTTGTGTCTTGCCCCCAAGTGCCCTTACAAGGCTCGTCATCTCCAGGGCATGTCAACAGCATCGACCCCTTCTCAGCATGCTGCTCATCCCCCGGCCTTTTCCTATTTGCTGTTGATGGCTGCAGCCCACCCTCAGGGTTACCCCAAATGTGGGCTTTCGGTCTTCTTGCGGCGCTTGAGCATATTCTCAGCTAGATGCCGCTCCAAGTCCGTTTTTTGAGTGTCTGTGTACAAGATTCCTACCTGCGCAAGTGCCTTGAGCACATGATCATTCACATCCGCATCTACCTCAGCACTCTCATTGTCCGAATTGTCCTTGGTCTCCTCTTTGGGCAACTTGGCATAGGCTTCAGACTGTGCCGCAAGCTGTTGCTGTTCAAGCAGGATCTTGTACTGGTCTTTGGCATTGTCGACCCTCTTCTGCAAGCCCGCTTTCTTATTGGATAGCTGGCGTAGTTCTCCCACCGTGACCTTCAACTTGGTGGTAACATCTTTGGGTTCATCCTTGACCGGAGACAAAAGGTTTTCCACCGCTTCTTTGACCTCTCCTGGCAATGACTGCAGGTGAGCCTTCAAGACCGTCTCCAGGGATTGCATCTCAGGCTCAGGAGTGTAGTCTGTGCCCACAGTTTGCAGTGCCTTGCGGACATCTTCCGAAAGGCCGGTCCAGCTCTTCTTCAAGAGATCATCCACTGGGTTTCTCTTGGGTTGCTTCTCACGTCCTCCAAGCCCTGGCGGTGCTTCCACTGTCCTTGTTCTATCTCTCCTTGGTCTGGGGGACCTTGGCTTGGGCTGTTGGGCCTGTTTCTGCCCTCGTGGCCACTGTGTTCCACAATGATCACAACACCACCTGGTATCTGACACTCTGTCAGCCCAGATCCATGACCCATTGCAGCCTCTGCACACAAAGTAGGTCCTCCGTGTTCGAACCTTCTGGAATCCATCCCACCCAGGCATTACCATGTTGTCGGACAGGTGGAACTCAGCCACTTCAAGCAACCACGTCACCCTCGAAATAGGAAAGGTCTGGGTCAAAGGCTAGGAAGAAGTGCCAGTGCCCTTCAACTTGTCAAAGAAGGACGCCCGGTTTGAGCCTCCTGAACCTTGAGCCAAACTTGAGCCACTCTTTCCTCTCTCTCTCTCTCGCCATTTCCCAGTGTGGTGCGCACATCCAATGCACTTTATCTGAGGTGAGCGCAGTTCAAGTGATGAAAGCCGGGCCCTTCCTCGATCAACTTCAAAATCCGTTCTTTGTCTTCCGGAACAGAAGCCTCCGCCTTGGCATCAAGGTCACTCTCATCAACAGTGCGCAAAAAAGTCTTGATAGGCTACCATCTGAAATTCAACACACATGAGCAATGTAACAATGCCTTTATGATCTCAGCACTGTTCAAAAACCCTGACCAGCATCATGATACTGATACTGAGAATCGGAACATTATGGAATTTTAGATTCGGATGAAGGAAACTTGTCGCCTGCTCCACCTTCACAGCTCCAAGAGCTGCCCAAACCTGGACACGACCAAAGCATAAATTGTTGGCACAGAATCGGTGACGCACGGGCATGGCTACTGCACGCCATTGCCCTACAGGAAAACCTGCTCAAACAATTTCCGAGTTGTGGGCCCGCATGCTTCACCGAAAAAGGGGCACCAGAAAGCTCCACAAAAATGCACATTGCAACATCACACATCAGCGCTTCTCAAAATAACAGCCTGACCACACGGAAAGGTTTTTCCACGGCACACGTGTCCACTTCTGATCGAAACTTTTCTCGGGTTATACTACTGTGGAAGAAGTTACTTGACACCGCCCCTGGATTTCCCCTCAAAAGCTAATTGATTGATATTTGGAATGGAGAACGTGATCGGCTGGTCACTTCAACGGTTCTGAGCAGCATGGTGCACTATGCAGAGTCGCAGGCCTCGCCCACACCGCCAGTGAGGAGGGATTCGCGGAAGTCTTCCGCTTCTTGAGGTGGCATGGCAATGGCAACTTCCTGGTTTAAACATGTCGAGACATCAAATCTGTTGTAGACGCCCTCCGTATCAATGTGAGCCGACAAACGTCCTGCTTCAGGTCGGTGGCAGTGTACATTTCAAAGTCGCACCACACCTCAATTCATTTGGTAACAAGTGCATCCTACTAACATGTGCATTACTACTAGTAGCAAATTAGCTACTAATAGCGATGCCCTTGCTACTAGTACTCAATGTTGCTCAGAACTTTTGTGACTTGCCATTCATACACAATGCTGACTTGCACCTTTTTGGTGTACAGCTTGGGCCAACACACGTTTGATGTAAAACGGGTCCTTCCAAGGCGCCATCATAGCTACGACCCTGCCAACATCTGGTCACTCAGTCTCAAGTGTGCACACGCACGGGCCGCCGTGTTCATTTCAAGGTGACGTTATGCACATGTTAAAGCGCTTGCTTGAATTAGAAATGGTTGAAAACGATTTCAATTTACATAACAACAGTGCGCCGTTTTTGTCCCCTCACGCTTCTTACATTGAGCTGCCAGCTTTCCAATGCCAACCACTCGGTCTCCGAATGCTTTCCTGACCAACCGAAACTCCGGGCTAAAACCATGTAACCAAAAACACACTGTCAGGCGAAAAACATAAAGTAGAACAAGGTAAGGGTGAATTTACACGTCTGCACTTTAGCACGCACACACACTTGGGAAATGCGTACCGAACTGACCGCCTCCAGCCCTGAAGAAGCCTAAATGAAAAATGGCCTGGGTAAAACAAGCAGTATGTAAGGCGGTCGAGCTATCCCTGAAAGCTCTCCAGGTCATCACAGAAAGCTCCAAGTTATCAAAGGAAAACTCCAAGTTCGTGAGGATGAGCGATCGACAAGCAATTGTCTGCAGAACTCAAAACAGGCGCAGAGGCTGGCAATTTTGTCGTAGTTGAAACCAGGGCCAATTTAGGGGAGTGAAAGGTGCGAAGCAGGCACGCTGGGATGATCAGCCCCAGTATCCAGGAAAGCGAGAGTGCCTTCGTTGGTGGCAGGCTCTTGTTCCTGCTGCCACCCCCTGCGTAAAGACCAAAAGGTTCCCTGTGACTCCAAGGGTTTCACACACACACACACACGCCTCCTGCAAAGGGAAGCCACAGGAAAAGTAAGGTTCAGACTAATGTGCATGTGTGCGCGCAAAACAGACAGATGAATGAAGACATGAAAAGAGGACAATACAGACCGGGTGTATGTGGTTGCAATGGCGAGAAACCAAGTGACCAGGGACAACCGATGAGCCAAACTTCTTGTAACAACCTGGGCGTCCTCAAACGCGGGTTTCAGCCGACTCTTGCCATGCCAAAGTGGCATGCTCTAGTCCGCTACGGACACCTCATGGCCTGCCCAAGGGCTGCCTGCTCAACTCATCAGGCAATCCCCCGTTCAACGGCGCCATGGGGGGCACTCCTCGGGCTCACCCCGGGCTGGCACGAAGCCAGCCACACCTGAAGCAATGCATACTGAACTGATCGCCTCCAGCCCTGAAGAAGCATGAAAAAATTGCCTGGGTAAAACAGGCAGTATGTAAGGCGGCCGGACTATCCCTGAAAGCTCCAAGTCATCAAAGAAAGCTCCAAATTATCATATCAAAGGAAAGCTCCAAGTTCGTGAGGACGAGCGATCGACGAGCAATTTTCTGCAGAACTCAAAGCAGGTGGAAAGGCTGGCAGATTTGCTGTAGCTAAAACCAGGGCCCACTTAGGGAGTGAAAGGTGCAAAGCAGGCACACTGGGATGACCAGCCCCAGTATCCAGGAAAGCGAGTGCTTTCGCTGGTGGCAGTCTCGTTCCTGCTGCCTCCCCCTGCGTAAAAACCAAAGGCCCCTGTGATTCCAATGGTTTCACACACACACACATACATATGCAAACTTGCCACGAAGTCTGCAAGTTGAGGTTTACAAAAGATTCCCGAAACGGAGTCACATGTCCAGAGCTCACGGTTCACTGCGTTTGCAACGAAATCAGCGCATGCCAAAGGCCACCACCAAGTCCGAAGTGCCGCGCCTAGATCTGCAATGGTCCGATCCCCTGCGCCCGTCACGAAAAGTCGACTTCAGACCACCAAAAACCTGCGCCTGCCATGAAAGTGACCACCAAGTCCAAAAATGCGCACGGCGCAAGAAGAGCGCAGTCAAGGACATCATCAGCTCGGGAGAGGCATTCTGTGCGACCCTGCCCAGTCGAAATGCACATTGAAGATCTCAAGAGGAAGTCTTTGTAAGGGTCATCAAATTTCCCACCCGCGCCAGTGAGCACCCCTATTGTAACTGTTTGGGAATGACCAAACTGATCCAAGCTGCATGGTCTCCATAGTGGATGCAAACATAAATGACATAACCATCAATGCATCAGAGTCTCTTAAACTCTTCAATGGAACTGCTTCCCCGAGAGCTTCCTTCTCTTTCACCCTGCGTTTGCAAAAGCCAGCTAATCATGAAGATGCTGGGGCTTGCGTCCAACCCCAAGAGTCATGTAAGTGCAAAGCTTGACTTCCTGTCAGTCAGCCTCTCCCATGACAATTGATTCAATTGATGTGCTTATATAGTTCAATGCACTTGTACACAGTTGTTTAGGCAGCACGCACATTCATGAGGCCATGCTCTCCCGCAACAGCCCTTCCTTCGTTGGAGATTGTTTTTCCATACTTTGGAGCTAGAGATCTTAACATCTTTCAATGAAGAAACAAACAACAAACCCTTTCAGCGACGGAGTTGCCTATGCATGCCCCAGCAAGGTGTACCACTGCAAAGCTCAGTGTATGAACGCGAAACTTCTGGTGGGCAACATTGGACAATCGTGCAGGAAGTCTGGTAGAAGAGATTGTTCAGTGCTGTGAGGGTGGGAAGTGCACACTTGGCGGGAGAATGAGCTTTAAGGGGAGGGGTGGCGAGTGCTTCAATGAGTTCGTTTAAAAAAGAAACGAAAGTTCTTCGGGAAAGCCGGCAGGCCTGTGCTGATTGATGCAGAAGCAACACATCCAGGCATACCTGATGGATGGGGAACATGGCAGGAGGCTCAACTGGCTGAACCATGTCTAAACATTAATCCATTTGCAATAAAGCACAAAGAGATTTAAAAAAAAGGAAACTCCCCCAAAAAATAACAGAAAGCAATCGGACATACATAACACACATTTACACTTGTGTTGGAGAGACTTCAGCCAAAGGAAGGAACAACTCCCAACTGACTTGACCATGACAATCACGGAACATTCTCTTGGGATCAGCATCGCATTCTCTGCAGTACTGGACCAATGTGTCAGTGATATCTCCTATCCTGCTGGTGTTTGCTGGCGGTGCTTGCATCAGTACATTTGGCGCAAGCTTTGCCGATATGCTGACCAACGTGCTGAAGCTTCAAAAACATTGCACAATGCACGCGCGGAATCTGCAAAATTCACACTTCAGCGAGTCCTGTATCCCCAAGTGTAGCTCAGCATGAAAGAGGCACTAGCTGCCTGACGTTGGCGCCGGCTTGCTTACTATGGTTCTCCATTGTCTAAAATGCATATTACATCGTTGTATCGCAGGCCTTTGTCTGTATCTATGTATGCATGCATGCATGCATGGATGGATGGATGGATGGATGGATGCATCTATCTATCTATCCAGCATGCACAAGTATTTCTGTATATTAGGCAGGTTAGGTCAATTCGGTAGGGTTAGGTAGGTAGGGTTAGGTAGGCAGGCAGGCAGGCAGGCAGGCACGCAGGCAGGTAGGCATGTATGTGTGTGTATATGTGTCTACAACAATACACACAATATATATATATATACGAAGAGCTGAGACACCAAGGGATCCTTCCATGGCCTGCGAATCCTGTCTCTTCAAAACAGCACACACCTTTTGCTGTCTACTTGCATCGCCTCATCAGCCGACCGCAGGCAATCCACGTAAGCTGCACCAATCCTACCAATTGCAATGTTGCACCCAAATGTAGCATTGCGCAAGCCTTATGTCTATGTCTCATCCCGAAAAATAATTGCTTGCCGTGACTTGGACGGGGTTGTGTGGCATGTCAGCGCAGCATGGGGATTGAAGATTTAACTAGCAGGTGACAGAATTTATCATTTTTCATCGATTTCATGACCTGTTCATTGGTTTCACACCTTGGTTTCACCTCCTTGTCATCGGTTTCATAACATTGTCATCGGTTTCACAACATTGCCTTCGGTTTCATAACAGTGTCATCGCTTCATAACATTGTCATCGGATGATCATGTGATTAAATTGGGGTGGGGGGGTGGCAGCACTTCTCATGAGCTTCATGGCATTTTCATCGGCTTCACAACATGGCCATCGGCTTCATAAAACTGTCGTCGGCTTCATACCACGTTCATCGGTGTTCATCGCCCAGGTATTGGCACTCCTTTGTGATGATCGTTTGAACAAAAAAGGGCCGTCTTTGTCAACATGCAAAATTTTCGGGCACTTTTCAAAAACACAGATTTTGCACAAAAGAACAAGCGAAAACGTGTTTCAACTTCCAAAACACAGGGAAGCGACTGCGGCGCCCTACCTTGTTCTCACTTCCGCAAGACTCAACGAGACAATAAGAGCAAAACAACACCTGGCTAAAACTCAAAGAATCCGCCCACCAAAGAAAATTCACAACGACGAGACATGAAACACATGAGTCACAATAACAGTGGGAACGAATATGAAATGCACCAGCAACCAAAAGCCCCTCGGCAGAACATTTACAACGGTATCTGACGCACTCAGTCATTTTGGAACATCTAACGCCAAGGTCACTACACCCCACCACCCCGGAGGGCTGCCCCTCGCTGTAGAATTTCACAGGTCAGGGTTTATAGTCAAAAGTTATGTTTGAAAAAGAATTATAAGTTTATTGAAAAGACACCAAAAAACAAAACCTACAATCCCGCAGAAAGATACCAGCAAGGTGAATCCAGAAGTTTGGACTCAGGAAACATTGTACAAATACTAGGAACTTGCAGGAAAATGCAAACATACATACCAATCAAGCAAACCCTGGGGGCTCAACAAACTGCTCATGGCGCACGGCCATCTGTGAGTCTGTGTGAGCCAGCTTGTCTCTTTTTTCTCCTGTGACTAGCGACTTCTGCCTTCAGTCTATCATCAGCTCCGTGGCTTTGTTGGGTGACAAACGCTTCGCTCAAGCATCTTGCCCTACACCACGCAAACAACAAAGGTTTGAAAGGCAAGGCCTTTCACTTGGAGGCTGAAGTATTTTGCTTCTTGCCATTGCAAAACATCGGCTATCATTCCAAAAAAAGCTATAGTTAAAAACAAGGAACCATAACTGGCAGCGCTGGCTACAAACAAGATTGTAATTCCAAAGCAAAAGCTAGTATATATTCCGATTCAAGAAAATAATTCAAAAAAGAACCATGCCTGGCAGCGCTGGCTACCAAAAAGTTATGATTCCAAAAAAAGTTATAGTTCCAAAAAAAAAGAACCATAACTCGCTGCACTGGCTACCAAAAAGTTATGATTCCAAAAAAAAGTTATAGTTCCAAAAAAAGGAACCATAACTTATGATTCTTTTTTCAAACAAAAATCATAGCCAACAACTATCAAAAACCTTTCAAAATCAAAAACCTTTCAAAATCAAAGGTGTTTGCTAGTTTGGGGCTCTGTAAATCTAGGTTTTTCACTAAAACACATAGCTCAAAACTAGCAAACACAATTGATTTTGAAGGCTTTTTGTTAGATTTAGGCTATGCATCTGTTTGGAAAAAAAGAATCATAAGTTATGGTTCTTTTTGTTTGGAACTATAACTTTTTTTGGAATCATAACTTTTTTGTTTGGAATATTTTTGAATCATAGCTTTTTGGTAGCCAGTGCAGCCAGTTATGGTTCTTATTTTGGAACTATAACACTGTTTTGGAATCATAACTTTTGGGTGGGCACTGTCCGCAGTTATGATTCCTTTGTGTGGAAAGCAAGGGCGATTGACAGAATCTTGACTAGACATAAATCTGTGGATGTTCGTCAGATTCACACACTTGATGTTTGGATAGTGGTTGGCTCGGCGCGGTTGGCATCCCTTTTTATATTGAACCTGGTGGCAGCATGACATGTGCGTTCACACACATAATGTGTGTGTGTTTGTTTGTGTGTCTTTGTGGTTATCTTCAAACTTAAACCTGTCGCATACATTCTTAATTTTGGCCTACTTGTCAAACTGAGATTGGCCGGTAATAAAGTGGAGCCATATGGAAGCTCTGGAAGCACCATTCACCCTGCGACATAAAACCAAGACACGAGGATTGCATTGAAGCAGGAATTGGGATTGATTATGGTTTTTGTTTTAAGTTCAACCATCTTAAAAGTTATGATTCTTTTTTGAACTGAACCGCCTTGACTTGCGAAATTTGACACCCCTCGCACCAACAGTGGCCTCAAAATAGCACAACCCCTACAGCTTGGAACTGCCCTCGGGCAGAATAGCAAATGTGCAATGTTCATTGACACTCCCGTGGCCAAAAATTTTGAGCTTTCCAGGGTATCAGTCCACCTGATAATGAGTGCCAGCACGTCCCTAGAACCACTTCAAAAACAGTGGACAATCTTGCAACTCAGTCGAACTCGCTGGGTCGCAAGAGCTGTCAGAAGTGTTCAGTTGTTGACCTCACTCATCACCGTCCACAGCATTCTGGCAATCAAACATCAAGCATCCATTTCATCTCAAGCTGCAGCGAGCCCTCCAAAATCACAATGAGCCCCACCCCGCGAACAGCATTTGGCCTGGGAGGCAGCCTCGGTGACAAAGCCGGAGACATTTTCGACGAGTCAACCAAGCAAAGATCAACCCCTGAGAAAGCAGTCCACGAGAGGGGCCCTGTGCCTTGTAACACCTACCTGGAGAAAAGGACAAGAAGAAAGGGACAAACGCAAAAACACGGCACGTAGGTCCGGCAAAAACTGTCTGTGCCATCATAACAGTTGCAACTCTTATCTCTTGCGACATTCTGCTGGTCGTCCTGCCATCTCGCGGACATATTGTGTTTTCCCCCTTCTTTCTGATAACATCCGGCTCTATCCTGACAGCTTGGCAAACAGCTCTCACCGCTCTCACCTATTCGGAAAACATGTGCGCACACCAACAAACTGCACAAGCTTTGCTCAACACTGGTTGCCGACTGAGTCTTGTTCTCATACACTTTGGCATCCCGCGTCAAATTGGCAGCCAGGATGTCCTATTAAACTTGAACCGTTGGAAAACGGAACACCAACACAAACAACAACAAGAAACCAACTCTCAGTAAAGACCGCCGTGTCCGCGAAGTGGCAGCGGCTGCGGCCTTTTTATCACTTGAGCCAAAAGTACAAATGTTCATGAACTGTGTCTATACATATGAGGTGTACTTTACACAGGAAACTTCAAGTCCCCCCTCATAGTGAGATGAACATATGTACAGCTAGTATTCCAGGTCTGAGACAGTCGCTTCATTGCTTGAACCGTCTGTGACCTGACAATTCCTATCGAAGGACTGCAAGCTTAACCTAACAGGCTTACGAACGGCAACTTGGGAGCGGCGCTTCAAGCAGCCAGTCACCCTTCATGCAAGTTTGGCGCTACGCTGGGCAGTAGCACTGTGCTGCATGCATTGTCTAGACTTTCATTCGAGGCAGCTCCAACTTAGTTTCAAGCTGCTGCTGGTTATCGCTTAGCTTTAACCATTTCATTCATTGCAGATCTAGCTTAGCTTTGAACTGCGGCTGACTATTGCTTAGCTCTAGTCATGCGAGCTCCTGCCTGCATCATAAGACGGGAGCGGACTCAGGGAGAACTGCAACAACTCCAAGGCATTTCCCCATTTGGACAACGGCAATCCTTTAGTAAACACGTCACCCTTTTGCTGAGTCGTTTCGATATGCTGGACTGTGATGTCATCAGCATTGTTGACTGTTTCGGCAGTTGAGGCCACATTTATGCGGTGGGTTTTACTCAAATGCCTTAATTTATTGGAGTAACCTTTCTGGATAATCGAGACCACGGCCGTATTGTCTTCGAAAACCTTCAGGGTCATTCCGGGGATCAACGCTTGCCATACCTCCAAGGTAGGGATCGCCTCGGAGAATAAGGCGCTGGAAAGTGAGACGAACTCGCTCTCCGTGGTCGATCTTGCAACCACGCTCTGCCTCTTGGAACTCCAACTCACTGGCGCAAAGCTGGAGGGACCTGCAACTGCAAGGATGAATCCAGAGGTCGAACGCATTGATTTGATGTCACCACCGAAATCGGCATCGCAATACAGAGACAAGTTCAACTGCTCTGGCGGATCACGAATGCACATTATCGGGGAGTATTCATGGGTCTTTTGCAAGTACCCAATGAGTCTTGCGACTCTTTTATCGTCGTTGGCCGACCACACCGTAATGTGTTTCGCCAACAGAGTGACAGCAAATGTGACGTCTGGCCTGCTAATGCGACAGAGCCACATCAACTTCATAATTAATTTGGCCGAATGTGGCGAGAGCTGTCCCTTTACCTCGTCATCAGCGGGGATCAGGGCTCCATCGTCCCATGAGGGCGAGGAGTAGGCCTTCACCGGCGTTTTCGCCAGCTCTTCATACAATTCAACGCACTGTTTGGCGAAGTCAGATGATTCTAAGGCCACTGCTTTACTCCCTTGAAACCACACAAGCCTATGGTTTCGTCCTAAGACTCTTCCATATTCTGACGGTGGATCTAAATTTATATACTGCTTGAGGGTTTTCCAGAATCCTTCATGTTCGGAGGCTACTCCTGAGAGTGTGAGGTCGTCTACATAGACGCTCATCACTAGAGAACGACCGAACCGAAAAACCGAGGGCATCTCACTGAACTCGACACCGTTGAGTTTTTCTTGCAAGATTTTGGAAAGGTGGGCCTGCCAGTGCGCTGACGACTCTGGATGGCCATAAAGGCTCTTGTACAGCTGTGCGCACGGCATGTGGACGTGCTTCTTGGATTCTGGCACAAGCTCAGGCGGTAACATCACAAATGTCCGATGCTTCGTGCCGAGTGCGGACTGAATATAGGCCCGGACGCAATCGGATGTTGAACAAGTGTTTCCCTCGATCATTGAAAAGGCTATCACTGTGTTCAACGCTGCAATTGAACTCGGAGCGGAAGCAGCAAGATCTTGGAAGATGGCGCTCAAGCCCCCCTGATCCTTGACTGCACCACCTCGGAAAACAATCCGAGCCTTGATCTTCCAGTCAGCTGGGTTCTTTTCATATCCCTTTATGCTAACTATCACCATTAGGGCTCCGAAATGCAGTGTTTCATTGGGAAATTCCCTGATCACGTCTGCCTTTGACCTAATCTCGTCTTCAATCCAAGTCCCTTCCAAAACCAAACCATCTTTCTCGCTTTTAATGGCAAGGTAAACTTCTGGGCGACCCTTCCATTCAGCACGATCTAACAGACGATGAACGAATGCTGGTGTTACAAACTCCTTACATCCACTCTCATGCATGAGGACATCAATGGGAACACATGGCATCCCTTTGACAACGTGCTGCCGATGTGAATGAATCACGCGAGGTGTGCACGGCGTGCAAAACACATGAGCATTGATGACATGTGGAAACAAAGCATGCAACATGATCTGACAGAGAGGCTCTGGGTAGAAAGCTGAGTTTCGAGTGTATTTCCCTTCAAGGGGTGCATGCTTGTCATGCGTGCACTTCAACATTCCCAAAGAATCAGCTAACCTCTTATTATTCGTGACAAACCTCCACGGCTTTCGAGCGGGCTTGTTGTCCTTGGCAGTGATTCCTACGGTGCAGCCATCGAAAGTGGCAGACAGCAGTTGCCTTTCTGTGATCCAGGAAGCTAGGGGCTCACTCATCCACCCTGAACAATACCTTGGCCACTCAAAAGACACAAAACCACCATTATCAAGAACATGGTTTGCAACCCTGATGAACGAATGCATCATTGAAACACTTTCCCTACGCTTCTCTCGAAGGATGTTGGACAATCTTGGGTTCTTTGCCTCATTCAACCTTTGCCAAGCACTCCAAGGACCACACTCAATGGAACCATGGATTGAACAACCAGGGATGGCTTTCACTTGCTCAACAAGTTGGTCGATGTTTGCTTTACTTGCAAGATCTATGTGTTCCTTACAAAGTCTTACAACTTGAACCCCAAGCTCCTCACCAATCCTACCGAGTGCTGAGTCTGAAGCACAGGCAAATTCAAACAAAATCTTGCCACCTGGGGAATTGTGGATCTGGCTGTGTAGACGCTCAGGCTTTGCAGCTGCTCCTAGACAGCTCTCATTGCTTGCAGCGACTGCTGATGCATACGTTTCTTGAACAATCGTTTCTGGAGCTTTCTTGGAAATGGCATCATGAGACATGGCAAGTACGGCATTAATGCCTGCATGAACACGAGCTTCATCACCCTCAGGTTCATTCTCATCATCATCAGAGGGCGGAGGACATTCTGGGACAATCTCCTCTTCATCCTCTTCGGCCTCTGACAAGACAGTTGGGGTGTACTCTTCGTCAGTCAAGTCTCCTAGGATCTCCGGCATTTCGAAGGTCGGAGGCTCAGGTGCTGGGGTCGAAGGAGCAGCACCGAATGCTTCCTCATACCGGGCAATGCATCGGCATTGTGTGCAGACGAATCAGCATCACAACCTTTGCATCCCTTGGTCGGGCCGATCTTCAGCATCCTACTGTACGTGATGTAAACTCTGCGTGCTTTAGACTTAGTCTCTGGGGTATCCTCGATGAAAGGAATTGGTAGAGGATCCACGTCAGCGAGTTGACGAACATCAGGATCCGAGAAGTCATTCAATGCCTTCTCTGCAAGATCTCTCAACGGAAACACACGCTCATCACGAACATAAACCTCTTGATCGGGGGCGACCACAATGGAAACATGACCTTGCTTCAAGGAGTTGTAATCCACAAGTCTCAAAACACCTTTGTACCGACACCCAAACTCAAGCTTCCAACCTCCCATTAGGGCTGGTGAAGAATTGGGGGCGAGTTTTGACTTCTCTTGAAACTTTGTTCTATAGAAAACCAACTGACCCAAAATGTAATCTGCACCTTTGAACTCAGAACTAAAAGCCTTTGACCAATGCTCGATGCTCATGGAAACAGCTGTGTACTGGCATGTCAGGGTCCAAAGCTTTGGGAACACAGCGAATCCTGCTTGCAAGTGCATGCTTCTGCAAGACTCTTCAAAGGACCTGATTTGTCTTTCAAGTACACTGTTGTGAGGCCATCTCCTAGGCAATGATGCGTCTGACAACCAACCGAGTGAACGAATGGCTTTCAGAAGCTCCTTGGCACAGTCTGACTTACAAATGGTTTGAGGGTTCTTGGCCTTTACACCCACAAAATGGTTCAGGGCTTCCTTGACCGAATCAGCATCTTTTGTTGCCAGAGGGTATGCTTGGAAAACTTTGCTGAACAAGTCCATCACCACAAGAACAACAAATTCCTTCCCCGACGAAGACTTTGAAACGATCATGTGATCACAGGCAATTTGCTGGCCGAACGCTTCAGGAACAGGAAGATCACTCTCTTCGTCTGCTCTACGATGGGATCTGATGCGTTTTGAGTACAGCCTAGCACGATTACAAACATCACAAAGTGCGGACTTAGGGAAATGTGTCATGCAATGCTTGGTGGACAGTGCAAGTTCCCGTTCACGCACAAACTTCTCAGATTCAGGGACCTTTGGCAAGGCCTCACCTGGAGCAACGCCACGAATGTCGTCTGCAACTGAGTGCGGAATCGCACCTTCAGGAGACCGGACCTCGGGTTCTGCTTCAACAGGTTCCACCTCGCCTGGTACGCCTGGAATGAAATCAAATGATCTGGAAAAATATGGTACATACTGATCAACCCTTGTTGCTCGAATCAAATTGCTTTCATCCGTTTGGAACTGGAATTGATTGCAGTCTTTTATATAGCATGGGAGTTGATGGGGTAACCACAAAAACCCCATACCATTGCTGACATCAAGACCAACAGACCGGACAAACGGGCATGAGTCAAGCACGAAGTGATTTGCTTCTTGAAAGATGCCTTCACGATCCCTAAGACCGATTGCATCGCTCGAATCTCTCTTTCCTCCACCTGTCGAAAACCTCAGGCTCTCATGTGAAGGAAGCTGGAACTGGCTGAACACCTCTGGAGACACTCCCTGCCTTTCTAAGCTTTGTGGAGAGACGAGATGTCGGCCGGCACCTGTGTCTGCAGCAAACTCTAGACGGCCTTCAACTGGCATGGCCATCGATGAGAGGGCAGCAACAATGGCAACAGCAGCCATTGCCTTGGCTTTCGGCTTTGGCTGGGCCTTTGGCTTAGCCGTTGCTTCGGCTTTGGCATCAGGCTTGGCCTTCTCGTGCAAGTACGCGCATGAACTGCCGTGCGAACAGCCGGAAGGCATATTTGGAAGAACACACAAGGCGTTTTCGCCCTGTCTTCCTTGCTCAAACCCTTGCCTTTACCTTTTCCCTTCTCACCTTTGCCTTTATCACCTTTGCCACTTTTACCTTTGGGATCACCCTTTGATGACGAAGGATCAGCTGGAGCCGCCGGTGTCTCCTTAGCAGGTGGTGGCGGAACCGTGGCAGCCTTGGCAGGGTTTGCAAGAGGATTCGACTTCTCCTTTGGATCTTTCTTCCACGACTTTGGCTTCAACGAAAGCTCAATGGACCTAGCATTGGTGTCTTCCCTTTCCTCAACGAGGTGCTCCTGCAATCTTCCCCAAAGGAAGTCGAAATCACGAAGTTCCGAGCTGTACGCGGAGCGTTTGATCTCGTCGATGGTTCTTTCAAGCTTTCGAACGTTTCTCAACCGATGGAACAACCATTCACCTAACATTCTCTGATTCGGCCAGTCGGCAGGGTCAATGGAGTTCAAGGTCTTCATGACTGTACCGCTAAACTCCTGGAGATCTTTCAACGAAAAACCATTGAGTTCCACCTGAAAGATGCTTTGCGATGTGAGCAATGAACCACGAGTACGATCGAGATCGAAATGTCGAGCAATCATGTACAAGATCATCCTACCCCGAGGGACTGTGGACTGACGAGTGCAACGCTCAACATACCCCTGGACTTTGAACAACAACTCAGGGCTTGACCGCACATTCTTGAGAAGCTCAGATGCAAGCCACCTATCGAACCTTGGGATCAGGCCTGATGAACTCTGGCTTTCTTTCTCCTGACCTACCTCGAAAGCCGTTGCAGCCCACTTGGAAAGGTATTCATTTGACGAAATGTCCAAGCGGCCAAGCATCAGAAAGAAGTTTGTCTTCCAAGCTCTAAAGTCTGCAGCACTCTGAGGGACCACTTCCAGTTTGGTGTGCAACAAAGCTCTAGAATCAACAATCTCCCTTTCTGAGGCATGTGAGGGCGACTCTGAAATCAACTCCTCTTCATCGTCGTCCGACCCTCCACCCCCCTGATCGAATGGATCGGGCGGACCTCCGGGAAAGCCTTTGCCAACACGAAGTCCACGAGAAGGTCCTACAGGAGGCGAGGATGAATGGACAACTGTGTCATGCGAACGATCGAACAAAGGTCGAGGCTCACGATTAGGATCCGTGCTATTTCGGCTTGATTCAAGTGTCAACATTCTGGAACTGAGTGACTGAACAGCTTCCATAATCGACTCCAACATTCTGTTGCCTCCTTCAGTGTCCTTGGGCGAAGATGCATCAGGCACAGGCTTCGGAACGAAGGCAGGCGCAGGCGACTGGATGACCGCGGCGCTTGAAGCAGCCAGTCGGGCCTCCAGCGACGAGATGCGATCTTGTCGAGACGAAGACTCTTGGCAAAGACGCTGGATTTCTGAATCTTTATGGCCTAAAAGGTTGAGGGACTTTTGATTGAGGTCGGACAAACGGTCGATCTCATCCTTCGCTTTGCGAAGTTGACCCTCAAACATGGACTGGTTGAATTTGATCTGGTTCTCAAGGGTTTGCTTTACCTCTTGGATCGCTTCATGCAAGCTGGTGATCATGACATCTTTCTCGGTGTGACCTGCTTGGAGCATTTCATTCTGACTACGGAGTTCTTCGACCAGGGATGTCAGGTGACCAATGTGAGCTGTGGCTTCCTGGAAGACTTGTTGAGCGACACCTTCGAAGTGCGAAGCTCTAGAGTCCGCTTCCCCGATCAGTCGTTGAGACTCAGCTACAACACGACCGAACTCTGCATGATCGATACCAACATATGCCACCTGGACCGTGTTAAAAGACCGGGCGTCATGAAGGTGCAATTCTTGTGTCAAGCTAGTTTGATTAGGCATGACTTCATCTTCCTCTCCGGTACCCTGGAACTCGGATGGACCAATCGACCGCTGGAACAACCCACTGGACGAAGGCAAAGACCGAAGGTCAGTGAGCGCAGGAATGGATGGTTCAACCATTGATGACCCCTCTGCTTGAACCTGGGACTGATTACCTTTGGGCATGTTTTTGATGACTCTGCTCAAAGATCTCTTTGGGGGTTTTGATCTCCTTCCCTCTTGGGGTGTTCCGGAACCATGAGATGATTGGGACCTGCTCCGAACAGCAACTGCCAAACCACCAACAGTAGTATCTGAACTGACATTCAACGATGAAGATTGCTCTTACATGATTTACCGGCCAACTATCCAAACTCTCCCAAACCCTTCTTTCTTTTCGGCGGGAACGAATGCACAATTGGCACAGGCTCTTTCGGGAACTGGCCTAACGAACAAGGCTCCGCGGCGCTCAAAGCAGCCGGACCGGAGCAGCTTCGATGCAACTTCACTCTTCCTCGTCAACTGGATTCGAATGGTGATGCACGAAAGTCACCAAACGATCCACCAATCAAGGTGCTGAAAAACTCCAAGACCTTTGCTCTTCGTCAAAAATCGCTCCGACCCGAGGCTTGCGAATCTGAATAGCGATGAGGCTCGCCGCACTGAACTCACGCAGCACCTCAACGTTGTCATCCAAAATCACAGCCTGACCACGAGTCAACGATCTCAGCACCTCAAACTTTCCACTTGGGCCCGTCCTTTCACGAGTGATGATCACACAATCAACCGACAATGAACTCTGTTGTACTGCAGTGATCAAGTTCCTCTCGTTCACCACACTGTCGTGAATGTGCGACAAAACAATGATCTTCACTCGACAACGCAAGCCGACCTCTTCAATCTCCCTTCGCAAGCGACGAACTGCTGCAACGTGGCCCGCAGGCAGATTACCAATATGATCCACACGATCCGGAGGATTGACACTCCGATCAACGTCAAGGACCTGATGGTAGTCCAATGCAATCACCGGATCAGAGCCCCAGTGATTCGGCCTTTCTGCAGCCAGCCTCAACGTATCACCGTTCGCCCACACGTAAAACTTGGCTGAGGACGGAAAAGTCAAGGCCTCTCTGTAAACAATGTCAACCCGCGACCACGGGTGAAGAACGACTCCAGGCGCCGGGTGGTAGTACTTGAGGATGTCGTAAGGCCGATTTCCGGCAGGCGTGTCAACAACACTCGAATCCGCTCGGCTCGGAACAGGCCTTGGGGCCGCAGCCAAACTTGACGAGCCAGGCGAATGATCGAAGACGTACGGGTTGTAGAGCCTTGAACGCGGCACAAGATGCTCAGCCTGCAACGAAGTCAAATCAACTGCCGCTGTAAATGCAACAAACTCAACTTCGTCAGTCTCCTCACCCGAATCTTCGCTTGCACTCGGCTCCCAAAACCTAGAAGTTCCAAGTGGCCTTCTCTGACTGCCAGCGTGAACAATCGGAACCGTCGCTCGATCGCCTCCCGAATTGGCAATGTACGCCTCTCTGCGTCGCCGTGCGGCAGCTCCTCCCCGGATACCGCGCCTCGGAGGATCAGGAGGCGTCGGTGGCAGTGGCCTCCTTGGCGGTGGCCCTGGGGGTTCAGGAGGCCGCAGCGTCCGACGAATTGGCGAACGGGACGGCTCTCGAGGACGCCGACCTGACATGCACGGGTTTTCTGTGGACCCCGCAACCACACTAATGAATGATGTTGTTGTGTTGTAACAGAAACCGAAAAACAATCAAAAGCCGATACGGCTGATAACCACTTGAACCGTTGGAAAACGGAACACCAACACAAACAACAACAAGAAACCAACTCTCAGTAAAGACCGCCGTGTCCGCGAAGTGGCAGCGGCTGCGGCCTTTTTATCACTTGAGCCAAAAGTACAAATGTTCATGAACTGTGTCTATACATATGAGGTGTACTTTACACAGGAAACTTCAAGTATTAAAGCGCCATCTTCTTGCTTTGCCGACTGCGCATTTCTGATCTCGCATAAAGCGCTCCTCCTGCAGGGTTGTAGCTATGTGACCTATGCTCACGGCACGGTTCCATTGCCCCAGGCTCCTCAGAAATAGCTCAGGCATGCTCGGGCTGAAACAGTCTCCAAACGAATTCCAGACCTTTAAACAAATGTTGAATGTGTGTTCGGTACAGTGCACAACGTCAGTTGGAAAACCATTTGCCATTGGAATCTGTGATTGAAGCCTTCCCCACAGTCGAAAATGAAAAAGGAAGAAAGCTAACATACATAAAGGAACTCCACGCCACACAACCCTTGATGCTAGGTCTGACCAAGCTTCCGATCTGAGTCGGCTTGAAGGTGAACCGACTGCTCGGCCTAAATCGTGCAGGCTTTCTTTCAATGAAGTGCCAAGCTGCAACTTGAGAGGAGGGAGACACGAAAGGTAGGACAGCGGGAAGAGAAGAGAACGCAAGAGGCAAGAACAAAAATGCAATGTTCGACATGGTGATTTATCCCCTCGGAGGCGACCTTTCGTAAATATATGTTCATATGCACTCTAAATGTTCAAACATATGCTCTCGAAATGTTCAAAAAGATTCTTAGGAAAACAAACTTGCCCCATGGCTCAGATCATCGGTGAGCATTGAATCGGAACATCATAGGATTTGAACTATCCTGAAACCATAAGAGGCTCACGAAGACTCTCCCCAGGAGAGAATTAACGTGCTTTAGAAAACAAACTCTAGGTATATATCCCCTCGGGGAACACCTTTCGTGATTAGAATTCCATATTCACTCTTTCTGAATGTTCAAGAGGGTTTCAACTATCCTGAAATCATGAGAGGCTCACGAAGACGTTCTCCAGGAGAGAATTGATTTTAGAGGGGGGGAGGGAGGGGGGGGGTCTGTATTGAAAAATCAATTCCAAGGGGGCGGGGGGTGAAAGAGTGACTAGGGCGTACACGGTAGAGGTGCAGACCGCTAGTGTCTTTTGCTCACGCAGAGTCTTATCCTATATCCCTTGAGCCTTATGGCAGTCAAGCATGGACACACTAGATAGGCCAATGGAGTGGAACCTGTACAAGTATGCCTATACATTTCAACAGGCACAAAATTCATGTCCACTCCTGCCTATTGCGTATGTCGCATACTCTTTTCTACCGCAAGGCTAAGGCAGTCCAGCAGCTCTAATGCTTAAAAGGAAACCACGGTGCCTTGTACTTACCAATTCTAGTATGTTTCATACTATAGAAAAGGTAATCTCAAGGTCTACTAAATACAGTGAGGGAGCAATAGCTGACTCACCTCAACTACAAAGTCAACGACGATGTATCTCGGCTGGAGACTGTATTGTTCAACCGGCGAAGATACCGTATACCGGCGCTCAATAGCCCTTAAAAAGCTAGAGCTTAAAAGAAACTTAAATTCAAGGGAAAGCGGCTTTCTTACACAGAGACCTGTAAAAGCAGTAAACGACACTCGCGTAACGAAGAACTAAAAATTCAAGACCGCGCAAATTGCAATGAATTAGGACGCCTTGCAAAATGCAAGGAGCGTCAACTCTCGGCCCGAGGAATGTTCTTCTCTACAAGTGGTCTCGGCCGCTTCCATACACTGCATCAAAAGGACTCTTTCTCATTGACACCAAAAACAAAAAGGAAGGAGACACCGGCAAATGTATGTACAAAACTTGCACTACAAATGCAAACTTATGAAATGACTTAATCATCAACCATGAATGGTTGTCTATTAGAGGTCACCTCAGAAAAAGCGGCTGTGATAGATATCATCAGTTATGCAAAACTGTCCATACCTATCTGCATGCTAAAGCGTATAAACCTGGAATGCAGGAGTATCTTCTTTGACAAAAAGTTTCTCCTTGTTGCAAACCAGAGTTCATTAAAACTTTAGCCTGGCAACTTAAAGTCAAGCTTGGAAGCAAAGTATCAACTGTGATCAGAAGTATCTTCACTTCCTAGCCATCATTAAAAGTTAGCTTCCGCTCTGAGTTTCATGCCGCTGCAGTCGATGAAGCTGCTTGATCAGAAGTTGGCGGCCTTCCTTTCCTTTTATTCTCTTTCTGTCTCTCCTTCCTCCGCAGTTTCGCCTCATGAAGAGTTGCTCCCATGCGATACTGTCTTCTGTCTCCAGATGAAGAGGAAGCTGGTCTGAGTGAAATAAGCATTGGACCATGACTGTCCTCGTCAGTGGGCCTTGAGCACATAACCTCTGTGTCAATCATAGCAAAGTTCTCTGAAAAATTACAGATGAACTCCTTCGTGCTCACTGTGGAATTTTCATATTCCTCTTCACTCATCAAATGACCCCATTCAACAATGGTAGACAAACATGTATCTCCAAGCTTTGATCCCTGGTATTCTTCTTTCTCTATTGTGGAGTATTCTTCCCAGAGTTTATCAAAGTAATCTTCACATTGCTTGAGAACAAGTGAAGTTGAACTGTAAAATGTTCTGGGAATAGGTGCTTTGATACCAGGATCTGCTTTTACACGGGCTTCTGAAAACCTGCGGATCCAATGCTGCATGGTGCTATAATAATAGTTAGCCATTGGCTGCCTTTTGTACCCAGACATTCTGTAGGCCAAACTATTTGCATCACCAGAAATGATGTCCACCTCATATACAAAACATTCATAAAGCATCAATGCTGTCTGTTCTCCTGTCAGTAGGTGGGCCTCCACAGCACGGTGTGTGTCAACATGATAATTACAGACTCTGATGGTATGCATGTTCGCTCGAGTAAGTGGAACACGCTGGTCCTCAGGACCATAGTCATCAAATTCAAAGTCTGCATCCTTGAATTCTTGACGAGGCCTTGTCTTTCCAAAACAAATCTCGTAGATAGCCCAAGTTACATCACGCTGTTCACAGTGACCAAGGTCTTGGTCATGTCCAGCAATGATCTTGACATATCCACCTGGTGCCAATCTAGCCATCACTGCAAGATTCTCCCAATCATTGAAACAAACTGTCCAATTCTTTTGCTCAATGAATTCCTTGGCAGGAACAAGGAGATGAGCTTCCTGGAGAATCACGACATGTGCACGTAAAAAGAAGAGCATATTAAAGAAAAGGTTGTTCTCAAATTGCTCGTATTGAAGTGACATGGCGCTCTGTTTGCGTGGCCTCATGGCAGTATCAAGTCCTTGGAGAAACCTTGGTGTGGTGTACTTCTGACCACGAACCATGTTACCATAGTTCCAGGATAAAAACGTCAAGGACTCTGAGCTGGCCAATAAGTTGGTTCCATATTGTTCTTCTATTCTTCCCTTGAGGAACCTTCTGCACAGCTCTTCATAGAAGGTGGCAAAATCCCAACTGGGTCCATTGGGACCATATGATTCCAGTTCCTTCTTAAGTTCCTTCTTCGTATCCTCCAATTCTTCTCGAGCATGCTCTGCCCTTTCAAAGGACTTTGGATCGACCTTATACTTGCCATCCAAATAACTGATGCGGTCATCATTGATGAAAAACCTCTTCAAATCATGCTCTGAGTCGTGTTCATAACAATCAGGTGGAGGTACTGGACAGACTTTTCGAATGGATCGAACAAAATCATCCTCGTTGATCCTCGACTGATAATGAGGATGGGAAATCTCACCTTTTCTGAAACAAACATGGTTCAGCAATCTTGCGTGAGTTTCCCTGAAGCATAGTTGATAAAAGCCAATACCTGGGACATTGGTAATCTCTCCAAGCAACCTCAAAGGTGAGGTATGCAACTCATAGGTATTGTCAGCATCCACAGGATCCTTATCAACAACTACTTCAGATGGAAAAGATTCTTGGATTTCAGCCTCCAATTTCTTCTCTCCATCATCCTCTCTGACCTCTCTTATCTTCTTCACCGCCTTCTTCTTCTCCTCAAGAGTTGCATCATCCTGAACTTCTTCATGAAAATGAGGATCAGGAATCTTATTCAGGCGGCTTTTCTTAGATTTCCGCTGACCTGAAGTATCCTCAAGGTTAGCATCCTTCTCACCTGATGGTAAGTACGATGCAGCTGAGTCCTCACCTATCTCTCTTGACAGAAAGTGTGGTGTTGACTCCTCCTTGGTTTCCTCCTGGTCAACTTCCATCTTTGGTCCCTCTGAAGGAAAAGCACCTGCGTTCTCATCAAACATTTCCTCATCTTTCTCAGGTTCAACTGCAGGATCTTCTTCAGGAACTTCCTCTTCCATATCCTCATCTTTCGTCAACATCAGACTACCAGTGTAGATTTCACCAGCGATAGTGGAGACTCTTGTGTAAGGAGGAACTTCTTCACCTGCCTCAAAAGCTTGTTCTGCGACATTCTTGGTGAGCAAGTCCTCTACAAGATTTTCTCCCATGGTCCTTGGAAGAGGTTCTGAGGTCTCATGAAAATCTGTCCTCTCTGAACTAAAAACTTCTGTTGCCTTCTCATTGTCCTTTTTGTCCTTGAAAAGATGAGTAATCTTCACTGCTTCTCTTTGTAGCACCTGATCACCTTCTCTATACTTGTTGACAATGGAGCGCCATACTGGTACGTCGTCATCATCAAAATCAAGCTCCATATCATCTGCTAACAAGTTTGAGATGTTTTGAGCTGCCTGTTCTTCTTCTTCCTCTCGTTCTCTGGCAAGCTCCTCATTCTTCTGGATCTTGTAGACACCCTTCAGAATGTTTTGTAGTACCTTTAAGTCCAGCTTCGATGATGGCTCATACGTCCCTGAACTTACAGGCTCAACTACAACACGAGAGCAAGAAATCGCCTCCAAAAACTTGGAATTGTATTGGCGTTCAAACTCTTCCTTCTTGATCATCTCATACAAGGGATCAGAAACTGCAACACGTGAATGAACATATTCACGAAGTTGATAGCATGCATGTTGCACAAATCTGCTATTGGAGTTGTGAAGAAAACTCTCTAAATGATTCCTGTCACGGTCAATCAAATACCACACCACTCTTGCAGAAAACCTGAATTTCTTGAAGTTCATAGCAAAATGTGTATGATACTTCTCTGGATTCACTTCTGCTTGTAAGGCGGCCTCTGAGGTCTTGTAGGCTGGGAGATTTGTGTCTGGATCCAAAATCATAAACTCTTCCCACAAGATCGAGTGGTCAAGAACCCACTTGGGAAGCACCTTGATGAAAAAGTCACAAACAAGTTCAGACAAAAGGTGCATGACACGGCCAATCTCTTCCTCTTGCTTGAAACGATAGTGCAGTTTGGCAAATAATGGATTGTTAAATGCTTCCTCCACTGAGTTGCCGAAATTATCCCACTGAGGTTCTGGAATACCAAAATTCCAACCCAGCAATTTGGGACCTCTGCACATATCCAAGAAACTTGAAAGTTCTATGGATTGAATACCATGGTCTGTCAGAATT